TAGCTTTAGTTCTTTAACTTAATACATTTACTTAACAATTACAACACTGCTTGTGAGGGACATATTCATGTACAAAGACTCATAAGAATGATAAAAACATGTTTTCAAAATTAAATAACTGGGTATATATTGTCACTGTACTGAAGTCTAAGCAAATGATTAAATATAACTTTTAAATATCTAAATACATATTAATATTTATTAAATATAATAAAGTTAACTATTATTAAATACATAATCTATCCTTTTTTACCTACTATTACAGTAATGTTAGAGTTATAAGCCTTAAGATAACCATTTTCAGTTCAATGTGCTTTTATCACAAATATAATTCCAAAGCTGTTAAAATTTGTTGTTGCATTAAATGAATGAAAATGAAATATTTTAGATAAAATACATTTTGTGAAATCTTTTTCTTTTGTTTCAAATTAGCCATGGGGAACCTACACTGTAAAAAGTGCTACACCTACAAAGTAGGTTTTATATACTTTAAATAGTTGTAATCTAGTTTATTTTATTTGTTTTATACTAAAAAGTATCAACATACTTCGTCTTTACTTAAAATATATCAGATTTTATATAACAATATATTTTAAATAAAACTATTGCAATTTATTTGGGTAGTTATTGCAATAGTTGTGCGGGCAAATAAGGGAAAGTAAGATGTGGTGTTTTATGGACAGCAGGCAAAACAAGCTAGCCGTGTGCCTTTGAGAGGACTCTGGAATCAGAGATCATGTTAGTATACTTTTGCATTACTAAATCAGATGCACAGATTTGACTGCATAGATGTATGCTTGGTAGTCTGTCTGATTTGAGAGATTTGATCCACGTTTTTTTAATGCTGTATAGTCAATTAATGACAGATTGTTGGTTGAAAAAAACCCTAAAACTATTTATAACCTATTACTTAAATAAGTTACATTTTACCACTGATTTTTAACCTTATTCTAACATGCATTTTCCTGGTCTTTAGATACCCAAGCGCTTTTGTTACCTGAGGTCTTCAAGCTTCACATCCAGGTAAGAAAAACTTCAGAATAGATACAATTACAGCTATAACTATTCCCAGGTAAGTAAAACATAGGTAAAATTGCTAACAATAGTGTGGGCTCCATACAATTACATTTCTGAAGACCTTTTTATGTACCAACCACCAATAGAAGGCAGATATGATCACATTTCTGTCTCCTCCTCCTTACAACAAACAGTGAACATCACCAAATAGAGCAGTTTCTTATTATCAGTCAGTCTTTCTCTGAGGCAGTTTGGTAAGCTGTCAGTTGCCACTAACATTTACTCAACTTTTTTCTGTGATAATTTAAAATCCTGACATGTGATGACTAAAATCCTTAATCTAGTTAAATATACTGTACAACTAAAAACTACCAGCCTTTAAAAAGTGTATCATAAAAATTTAATTGGAGATTAAATGTGGCTTCAGCAGACAACCACAACACTGACACCTGCACGTAGAGGATGCTATAATTGACAGGTGAACAAAATGTAATGCACCATTACACTCTTTACACATAAAAGGTGCACTAAAACATGTTTAAGAAAGCATTTGAGGTGAGAAATAGACAATGTACTAATAGAAGCTTGATTCATATTGATTAACACAGCCTACTTGGACCGTTAAATCTCAATTTTGTGAACTGTCCCCCTTGACTTTTTTGAGTAAACAACATGCACATATGTTTTTGTTTTCTGAGATGCTGGTGATAGTGTGAGATCTTGTAGTACAGTGGTGCATGTATAGTAGGACCTTTTACAGCAATTTAATGGTTGAAATACAGCGGTTCTGTGGTTTGTGTGTGTATCAGGCTGTGAATTTTGATCAGATTTTACTTTTTGACAGGATCTATCTGCCTCTGTGGAGAAAAGGAGAGAAGTGGTCCTGAGATGCCTGATTGAGTACATGGGGGAGAGACAGGAAGACCTCATCAGTGTCCACCACGTATGTATTGGGCTTAAAGCTACTTGTCTATAATTCTGTCTGTATGTATTAATATTGTGATGATATGGGGTAATTACGTTTGCTCTTGAACGGTATTTAAACTCCGTAGCTTAATAAATGCTAATGTGATGGCCAATCAGGTACAGGCAAAGACAATTGCATTGTTTTATTGTAATGCATCCTTTGAACCAGAAAAACACAACACTCATGCTACAGTAGATCATGATAGTTTAGTACCCACACTCTATGGCATTGTCATGGTAGACTTCACTCTGGTCACATGCTCTAGTCACAGTATCCGTCTAGTATCCACCACCTTTAGCAACAAAAGTAGAATTTTGACTTTGTGTCTTATCTGTCTTCTACCTGTCTGCTATATTAATCTCATTACCTGTTTGTCTGACCAAAACTCTTGATTCTTTTTTGTTTCCACCAATAGAGTCGTGATGAAACAGAGGTGCACGCTGAGCTTGGCAGTTACCCACTGAAAATGTACATGTGCCATCAGCCCGACACGATTGGGATTATCATAGAAGGACAGCCCGTGGTCAGAGGTGTGCCAAACCTGTCGAAAGCATGCTGCCTCCTGTTTGGACTTGCCTATGCCCTCAACCTCAAGTATCCCTCAAAACTGGTGTATACTTTTGAGATATATCAGAGGCTCTTTGTGGGATTGGACCCCATGCGTCCTAAGCCATCATCCAAGTATGAAACTCAAGTGTTTGTTTTATATTATTGTGTACATGACGTGCAGCCACATTTATTGGCTGTTTTGTAGTCACTGTGAAAAGTGACACTGGTTGACACTGAATAAATGTTATTGTCTTCAATCTATCTTCCAATCTTTTTCTTCTTCAATTGAATTTGTAATTGTTATTGACAAAGTCTGTTTATGTAAAGTTAATCACTTTAGTGCTTAGAATATAGACATTTAGATTTCTTTTCTGAGGTTATAGCTAGGACTCAATTAAAATGTTTATTCACATATAATTAGGTTAATTTTACTAAGAACAAAGTTCATAAAACCTAATTAAAATGAGTACAGGTTACTTGTAGCAACCCATAAATATGTTACCTGTACCAAGAAAAGTAGGTTTATATAACTGAGTAATACTAGTACTATTAGTTAACTCAACTTGATTTTGTTGCGTTTGTATTAAGTAATGTTACACTGTTTATTATACTTAAAAAAGGCTGCAAGTTGACTCAACTTAAAACATCCAATGCAGCCACTTGCCTCACTTTTTATAAGTTAGATCTAGGTATTACTTTTTACAGTGTAGCACCCTGGACGCCAGTTTGAAAACCCCCTGTATAAAAGTGTTTAGTTTTAAAAATGGGCTTTTACTGGTATGGCTTGCTCAGGCTGTCAATAAACTTATGGAAGAAGACATCTTCACGGGTTAATGAAACAACAGTTCTGAAGTTCTCAACAGTTTCCGTGGATATCTGTGGGGAAGAGTTAGAAACATTACCATGTTTCTACAGTACACTGTAACAGTCAGTCTTACGTAATCATTTATTGTATAAATTGAATTACATAAACTGAACCAAACTAAACCAAAAAAAAGGTAAATGACCAGTGTACTGTACCTTGCCAGACATCTCCAGTGCACTCTGATCTTTGGATGTGTGTCCTGCCATGGCTCTCATCTGGATGAAATTTGCCCCCATGAGAAAGGGGACACAGGCAAGGATAAGCAAGGTGAGCTGCCAGCTATGGATGAAGGCCACAATGAAAGCAATGCCAAGAGTACAGATAGTGTTTGTGGCTAGACCTAATCTGGATCCTGCTGCCTAGAGATGAGAAAAATAGAGAAGAAAAAAAAGTCACTGCCCAACTAAGCAGGTTATTGTAGTAAAGAATAAGAGTAAACGAAGCAAACAAAATGGGGATTTTTTTTCATCTCATGAGTACATTAAATTGATCAAAAGTAACAGTAAAGACATTTATAATATTACAAAATATTTATATTTTAAATAAAAGCTGTTCTTTTGAACTTTCAATTCATCAGAAAAAATCCTGAAAAATGTATCATGGTTTTCACAAAAATATTAAGCAGTACAACTGTTTTTAACATTGATAATAATAAATGTTTCTTAAGCTGTCATGGTCCCGGAAGAGAGATGAGGCGAGAACTCAATTGCAGGAACGAATGGGCTTTTATTAACAATAAAATAAGCAACAAAAACTACCATGAGGGGAAAAAACAGGCAGGCCAGGACAGGGCACAGCCCAGCAAGGCAAGCGGAACATACCATACACACGACAATGACTCTCAGACATAAACAACGAAACAGCACAGGACTGCAGACACCAGTAGAATAAATAGGGAGACAAACGAGGAGGGTAACGAGGGAGACACAGGTGGAGTAACTGAAAAAATAATGAGATAACAAGAAGGGCGGGGTCAGACAATAGACAGGAGAGCACATGGCACAAACAACAAGCCATGTGCTTAACAAACAGACACGGTGACCTCTAAGGCACACCAACCGATAACCGTGACATAAGGCTTGCCGCACACTAGACGATTTTCAAATCTTAATCGATTTTAAAACCATGGGAGACCACTTCGTTCTGTCAGGGAACTGGAGAGAGATGAGGCGAGGACTCAAGATGCAGGAAGTCTGGGCTTTATTAGAAGTAAAATGAACAAAAACTACCCCGAGTGGGGAAAAATAGGCAGGCAGGCCAGGACAGGGCACAGCCCAGCAAGGCAAGCGGAACATACCATACACACGACAATGACTCTCAGACATAAACAACGAAACAGCACAGGACTGCAGACACCAGTAGAATAAATAGGGAGACAAACGAGGAGGGTAACGAGGGAGACACAGGTGGAGTAACTGAAAAAATAATGAGATAACAAGAAGGGCGGGGTCAGACAATAGACAGGAGAGCACATGGCACAAACAACAAGCCATGTGCTTAACAAACAGACACGGTGACCTCTAAGGCACACCAACCGATAACCGTGACATAAGGCTTGCCGCACACTAGACGATTTTCAAATCTTAATCGATTTTAAAACCATGGGAGACCACAGACATGAAGACAGTTTCAACCGATTTTTAGCCTTATAATCCTCTGAATGCACACTCTAGAGCAGGGGTGGTGAACGTCGGTCCTGGAGAGCCGCAGCTCTGCAGAGTTTTGCTTCAACCCTAATCAAACACACCTTAATGAGCTAATCAAGGTCTGAACGGTTACTAGGAAGCTACAGGCAGGTGAGTTTTAATTAAGGTTGAGCTGAACTCTGCAGGGCTGCGGCTCTCCAGGACCGGAGCTTGCCACCCCTGCTCTAAATGATTCGACCAGACCGCGAGACCACACACTTGATGACTGCAGGAACGATTTCACAGTGACACGAGATCTCACAGAGACTTGCGAGATCAAACATGACTAGAGAAGAAAAACAAATGGATAACAATAGACGTTGTCAGCTCGCTCTCCCGGCGCGCGTTCTGTTGTACAGTGAAAAACAAAGTGTAACAAAGAATATGGGTGATGTATTCTGCTTTCGTGGCATGTTTGTGGCTGCCAAGTTTCAGCTATAGAAGCACGCAGCATCCGGTGAGTGACGCTTGCTCGCTCTCATTGGCTATCGCGGGTATCATGTCAGAGGCAGCCCGATCAAGAGTCGTAAATATCAAACATGTTTGATATTTACGATTTGAGTTCGGCGACGCTCCGTCATGATACCCGCGATAGCCAATGAGAGCGAGCAAGCGTCACTCACCGGATGCTGCGTGCTTCTATAGCTGAAACTTGGCAGCCACAAACATGCCACGAAAGCAGAATACATCACCCATATTCTTTGTTACACTTTGTTTTTCACTGTACAACAGAACGCGCGCCGGGAGAGCGAGCTGACAACGTCTATTGTTATCCATTTGTTTTTCTTCTCTAGTCATGTTTGATCTCGCAAGTCTCTGTGAGATCTCGTGTCACTGTGAAATCGTTCCTGCAGTCATCAAGTGTGGGGTCTCGCGGTCTGGTCGAATCATTTAGAGCAGGGGTGGCAAGCTCCGGTCCTGGAGAGCCGCAGCCCTGCAGAGTTCAGCTCAACCTTAATTAAAACTCACCTGCCTGTAGCTTCCTAGTAACCGTTCAGACCTTGATTAGCTCATTAAGGTGTGTTTGATTAGGGTTGAAGCAAAACTCTGCAGAGCTGCGGCTCTCCAGGACCGACGTTCACCACCCCTGCTCTAGAGTGTGCATTCAGAGGATTATAAGGCTAAAAATCGGTTGAAACTGTCTTCATGTCTGTGGTCTCCCATGGTTTTAAAATCGATTAAGATTTGAAAATCGTCTAGTGTGCGGCAAGCCTTATGTCACGGTTATCGGTTGGTGTGCCTTAGAGGTCACCGTGTCTGTTTGTTAAGCACATGGCTTGTTGTTTGTGCCATGTGCTCTCCTGTCTATTGTCTGACCCCGCCCTTCTTGTTATCTCATTATTTTTTGGGTATCATGTCAGAGGCAGCCCGATCAAGAGTCGTAAATATCAAACATGTTTGATATTTACGATTTGAGTTCGGCGACGCTCCGTCTCGATCGGGAGCAGTTAAATAATCGTAATGACACCACACAATAGGGGATTTTTTGGGACAAAAAATGGCTTGTGACAAGCCGCGAATCAGGCCACACCCCCCGATCGTTCGGGGATGCAAATCGGTCTTAAAATCGGCCATAAAATCCTCTAGTGTGCGGCCAGCTTAAGCAGAAAATCAGCATATTTCTGAAGGATCATGTGACACTGAAGACTGGCGTAATGGCTGCTGAAAATTCAGTTTCGCCATTACAGGAATAAATTACGTTTTCAAATATATCCAAACAGAATATATTTATTCTAAATTGTAATTATTTTTCACAATATTACAGTTTTTACTGTATTTTAAATAAATAAAAGCAGACTTGGTTAGCATAAGAGACTTCTTCAATCAATATTACAGACCCAAACTTTTAAATGGTTGTGTATTTAAAATAAAGTTGCACTATTAATACTGAAAGCTGTAGTCATATGGATTAGCTCTCACATAAATACAACTGAAAAATAAATTCAGTCAGGCCTATAACAGTTTAAAGAGATGGATGTAATGAACCGGAGCCAAAAACACAGGCTGTATCCACAGTGAAAGCTTAATTACTGGTTCTGATGGCAAATCACTGTGTTCCACTCACCCCTTTAACCAGAGACGCATCTGTGGCTAATTTAGTGGTCAGGACTCCCACTGCATTGTTGTTGTCATCAAACCAAGCAATCTCCTGTTAAGGGAAACAGGCTTGAGGATGAAGCACGCATTTCAATAGCTATCTGTTTGTGCCAGATTAGTTCTCAACTGCATATAGTAATGGAGTGAGAGATGTGGGAAATGTGCCGTACCTGTCTCATCATGGCGTTGAAAGCCTGACTTCTCAACCTCATGGTTAGAAGCTCACCAGATTTACCAAACATGAAGCCCTACATGACAGAGCACCAGATGTGAAACTTACATACAACATTTATTCCAGAAATATATTAAGCAGGACAACTGTTTTCAACATTGATAATAAAAATGTTTATTTAGCACCAAATCAACATACAGATTTTTTTAATTAAAAAAGCAGTAATGGTGAGCATAAGAGACTTCATTTCAAAAATCATTAAACTTTTGAATGGTGTATTGGTTGCAGTGAACACACAGTGAAACACTTTATTTATAAACTAGATACTAGATTGATTGATTTAGCTAGCTAGCTATC